TTTCTGAGTACTTCGCTGGAAATCAGCAAAACATTGTGGGAACGGCTTACCCACGCGACTAAGTGCGGCTGCCGCACGTCGGGTCCATAGACCCGCCTACTCACACAGCGAGATATGGGCTGTAGGACGATTCGCACGTATTTCGGTCTACCTGTCCAAAATGAAGACAGCTAATTGAACAAACTAACCGGTAACAATAGGAGAACTTAGGCCCAAGGTCTTGCGACATCAATGGTTCGTGATGTTGATGTCATGAACGGGATAACACCCACAACGGCTATATAAACACCGGCCGAACACACTCCCGACCATTTCACATGGGGCTGTCGCGGCAGCTGGAGAACAGGGAAGGAAGCTGGGCAGAGCAGAGAGTGGGAAAATCAACCGGTCATAGGGCTAACCATAAGTTCCATTTTTGTGTTGATGTACTATTCTAGCGTGATATTCAGCAGCAGTTGACCATTTTTGGGCAGGCTTTCTCACTGCTTATGTCGATAGCAACAGGTAAGTAAGTTAAGTGCGACTGCTTCTATGTGTTCTGAGAGTTTCAAGAGTGCGCACTATGCCTCCCGCACTATGTCCGAAGGCTGCTCAAGTAGACGCATGAGTTAGCATTATACGCTAGGTGGCGAAAAAAAAACCCTGTACTCTTTGAAGTTGTTCAGAGCTCCATTCATATAAATGCTAGCGCTTCAATCAGCAGTATTCTGCTTTTTACTGCCTTCATGGTTCCATGGGGTGTACGATACTCTATCACCACTTTTCACGTTGACAGCACCGGAGTGGTAGGCATTCTTTGGTTTTGATGATCAGTATCCACAAAATGAAAGGTTTATGTTGTTTGTTTCGTGATCTAGGGCGGAAGTGGTGCAGTGGCAAGTGGCACGCTTATCACGCGAGCGGTCCGGGGATCAAATCCTGGGTCGTGAGTCGCCCGGGCCAACCAAGCCTTCCATCCCTCCGGGGTCGGTTAATTGTACCAGACTTGTCTGGGAGGATAAAAACACTGACTTGTCATCGGCTGGCCCCCGCAAGTCATTGTATAGGCCACATCGCATTCAAACGCCACTACGAATGTACAAATGGAAGTAGAATGCGTGTCCGCATCCTAAAAAAGGGATTGATCAACGGCAAATGCTTTATGCTTTTAATGCTTCGTGGTCTAAGGCTGTTACCTCAGAAGGGCGTTTCTGGACAAGCAATGAGGTGGCGGTAGCCGGGCCATCCCCTTGGAGAAGAGCCCGGCGCCAGCTGGGCGATCCAACTCAACTACTTCAATCGAGAATGAAGTGGAGTGGTGAAGAATGTCAGCAGTCTATATCGAAAAGGCCCAGTTATTGGAAGTAGCTCATTGTTCGCTCTATTGAAATCGTGACTTTAGTGTCACTGATGAAATTTGCTTTGGATGCCCAGTTGAATTTGATGAAGAAAACACTGAAAACACATTTCCAGTGAAGCACGTATCGCGATGAGCTTATGGTTAGTGCAATGTACCAAATCAGTGACTGGGCGCATGGGTGCCATATAAGGCCTATTTATTGTGGCAGCAGCTAAAAGACGGGTTGGGATTAACGCTGTCGGATTTCGAACGCTAGTCGGCGTCTGACCAGGAACCCCACTTCTTTATCAGGCACGGGCAGAGAGGACCGTTCGAGAGCATTTGTTTAACACATTTATTGTTGTTTTTGTTTGGTTGTTAATAAACTTATGACTGAAATGAAAACGGCGGATAATTTTTACCGAACCTAATACTGCACTGGGCGGATGAATCAACGGGTCGGACGGCCCGATAAGTTCGCTTTTAGTGCTTCTTCTGCCATGCCGCCGTCTTGCATCGCATTGTCGGCAACCCCTGCTTCTTTTCAGCTTGTGCGCAACATTTCGCATCCATCTAGGGTTGTCCCTTCAATTCGTGGGGCATTTTCTAGTGCAGTACAGGGATGTGAAGCTGCCATTTTAATTGCTCACAAAAATGCAGCGCAAACTCGTTCAACAGCATAATATTAGGTTGGTGCAAAAGTCTTGAGACACTCGGATGCGTGTTTTAAAATCTTTTACAATTTTATTCAAACTCTAACTCAATAAACTATATAATCACCATCATTATCTATGACATTCATCCAACGAGCAGGCAAGTCGGCTATTCCCTTCTCCCAGAAAGAAGAGGACTGTGAGTCAAAGAAGTCAGCCACAGCATTTTTGAGGTCACCAAAAGTGGCGAACTTCTTCTTGACCAGGAATTGCTTGAGGTGCCTAAAAAGATGATAGTCAGAAGGGGCGAGGTCGGGGAATAGGGAGGTGGGGAACGGTATTCCAGCTGAGCTCCTGTAGCCTGGACTGCGTGATCTTTGCGACGTGAGGTCGAGCGTTATCATGCAGAAGATGTACAGAAACCCTTCTCGGTCGCTTTTCTTCGATTGCATGAGCGAGTTCCTGGAGCTGGCGACTGTAAATGGTAGCCGTGACTGCCTGGCCTTGAGGGAGCAACTCATGGTATAGCATTCCCTTCGAGTCCCAGAAGCAGCACAGCAAACCTTCTTTGAGTGCTGTCCTGGCTTGGGCTGCACGGGTGGATCTTCTCCTTTTGGGAGCCAGACAGCGACCCTCTTGTTGTTGTCGTAGAAGATCCAGCTCTCATCCCCGGTCACCAGATCCTGCAGAAACTCCTTCCGATTTGGGGTAAGGAGGAGCGACTGGGCGATTGGACACGAGATCTTCGGTCACTCGGTGCGGAAACTTTCATGTAACCGTGCTCATGAAGGTGTCGAACGACGTTGCTGTGATCGCACTCGAGAAGCTCCGCCAATTCCCTGCTCGTAGCCTCCGGCTTCTCCTTCACCTCGCTGAGAAGTCGGTCGTCTTCGATAACAACTGGTCGCCCGGAGCGGGATCGTCGTCGAGCATCGTATCTCCAGACTGAAACGAGCGAATAAACGACTAACCGTCGCATGGCTGACGAGGTTCTCTCCGAATGCAGTGTTGATATTGGAGGCAGCGGAACGAGCACTGGAACCGCGGCGCCACTCGTAGAAGACGATTGCTCGAAGTTGACTTCTTGACAATTGCGACATGGTTTATAAGAAGGGCTCGGGGACCTCATTTAAATACTGCTAATAGTAACTCTGAGATTGTTCTAGAATATGGTGAAATCATGACGGTGGCAAATGTTTTCGTAGAGAAATGGCGACCCATGTAAATTTGTGTCTCAAGAAGAAAGTCTCTCTGTTTTGTACCATCATAATATACAGAAAAGAGAAGAGTCAGCTACTACTGAATTGTTCATTACCTCGGCAGGGAATCTCCCAGCGTGCTGAATTTTCTTCGTCTGGCGGGGTGTTTGGTACTGGGGTGCGTTCCAGTAACCAGCACATTTTCTAAACATGGCTAATTTGAAGAATTTATTCGAAGAGTACTGTTAAAAAAGCTGTCGTGGAAAATGAACTCACCTCGCTTGTGGTGACCAATCAAAAAGTTAGCGGATCTCTGGTGAACTACAGAAGAAACTGTTGATAAACATGCGCTCGTAAATAATATGGCGACTAGCGTGAACATCATCAGCATGAGTGTTGGGAATGTTTGACCTTCGTGAGTGGCTGTCCGCGGCTGGACCACCTGTCATTAAGCCCGACCCTGTTCTACAAAGCGCTCAGGGATTGCTGCAGTCCCTGAGCCATCGAATCCAGGATTTATGCTATACTGAATAATAAACAGTTCTCCCTATTCGGAAACATACGGAAGAGCTTGAAATTCCAGAAAACAAGTTATTTATATGCAATAGTGAATGGTTTATGGTGAGATCGAAGACAAAAACGTCTCTGATCGACAGAAGGCATTGAATGCGCCACCAATTCGGAAGCAATTTCTTTTAAAACAGTGGATACGGCATACCGTTCTTATTAAGGGGATAGGCCTTAGAAGACCTTACAACCCATTCCAAGTCAGTAAGGAGTGACTATCGTGTGTGAAATGAAAGAAAGTCGGGTTGTGGACGAAAAACAAGAAAACGGAAAGAAACTGTTCAACATATCGAAAACAAGGTTTCAAGAACGAGTGGTGCGAATGGACCAGCTTTTGGCACCTAGGAACCATCTTCTAGGACATTCTGCCACAGAGACGCCTCGCTCTCATCGTCTACGGCGGCCAGTGCTCCTTTTCGGATTCGCAACATTTCATCCTAGGTTGTGCTCTTACCACTTCATTGACCGCTGGAAAAATGAACATCATCCCAACCATTCTCTCACCCCCCCCCCTGCCCCACACTCACACATATCACCACCTTTATTGAATTTTCAGTTTGCAGTCGCTGCTGTCTGTCTGTTGTGCTCCAGTCCTGCGCTTTTTATTTCAGTTGTAGATCAACTGAAGTCTCAGATTTGCTAATTTGCGTAATTTCACTTACCTAGCCGCAGCCTATTTTGGCATCACTTGTAATACCACCTCTTAGTTTGCTCAGTTGTCCAAGAAAGACAGCAATCAACATTTACCTGTCCAAATATATGAGAAGAGAGGGTTATCGGCCGAAAATAACTTTGGTGGCTCGCATTCAACCTGAATAAAGTGAACAAAGCTGCTAAGAAACCTTCAATACTGCGTGTTGGATTACGCATTGGGACAGCTTTTGCACCAGAAAGGAGCATCGGGGAAGAAAGGAAACTTTTTGAGCACCCTGTGTGCTATTCTGGATAGGACGTTCGACAACAGTTATATAATTTATTTCTGAAATTTGTTGCACATTTATAAGCAAGTTTTCATCTGTTGAATTTCGATTTTCTCCTCCTCAATGCTCTTTGGAACGGCGGACGTGGTCCACGGAGCTGGCTTGTCCGTGAAAATTGGAAACGAAAGTAGATTAGCCTGAATAACATTCCTTCAATTGGTAATGTTGCTCTCGCCCAAACTCAAGCTCAAACTATTGCATTGATAAACGGCTGTGATAATATAGCTGATAAGTAAAAAAGCACTTGCAAATGGGCTGGTGGAAGGGCTGGTCGCTACAGATCATGTCTGGCAAGAGATCCCATTCATTCAGAAAAAGGGACCAGCAAGAAGCCCCGGCTCCAGCTCAGGTAAATTACTTTTCCCCTTCTCTTTCTGACTTTATTACCATAAAAGATCTCGACTGCTAATTTTTAAATCGTCAGTAATGCTGCGCTTCCTAATGGCCAACAAGCTGAATTCATAATTTTGTTACTAATGGAGTGAAAAGCTGCGTGAGCCTTAATCGAGAACATATGAAATGTCCCTGAAGCAAAAGCTGACCTTGGGAAGCTGCCGTGAGAAGTTGGATAGGTGCCAATTTTGGTCCGTCCGCCTTTTGGTTGACACACCCACTAGCCGTGGAGATCTCGTGGTTGGCTGCGTGGCCAATGCGTAGCAGCTGATTCAAATACGCGCGAGCAGTCGTGGAGCAAGCAAGTCCAGAAAAGTCGTCGGACCCCACCTTCCCTCATTTGGAGGAAAGGGAATACTTGTTGATGGCTTAATCGGCGGTTAGCTCCGATTCTTTTTCTTCCATATAAGTTTATTCGGGATATCGACTGCTGTTACCCCACCAATTTAATCCGGGGTCATTGTTTAAAGGGAGCGGTATGTGTCCCGCATCTTGATCAGAGTCAGAGGCTTTACGCTTTTGTCTTCATTAGATTGCAGGTTAATCAGAAGTGCAGAAGTTACCGAAATCATGACAGCTCCAGAGATGGCGAACACCACTGCCCACTGCATTTTGTTAGATTCGTCTTCGACGATGCAGTTCACGAGAGCTGGTCCAGTGAAAAGCGCTATGCACTTCATGAACTGAATGGTAGCAATGACGACGTGAGCGTGTTGCCTGAAAATAGATCGATGTTAGTATCAAGAGGAACCGTTTACTTTCAGGCAGCTTTTGCTTTACTGTAGCGCTCATAATTGGCGGCCGAGGAAGAGGTGACACGAAGAAAGTTCAAATAGCTTACAGACAGGCCCCAAGATCAAACTGGTAGTTCTCGCAAATGAAAGTGGAAGCTTTGGTGCGAAGTGGGTCGGCATTGAAGAAAAAAAACCATTAAAACCAGGGGTCTTTCCTGGCGCAGCATTTGCTTGGTGCTTGCCAATGGGGAAACGCCCCTGATCCGGAAAGGAAAGGTAGACGAGAGATCAAACAGATGAGAAAGTGCTAGACACTATCACACTGCGGACGAGAAAAAATGAAGGGATAAGGTCTTTCGTAAGGCCCTAGCGCCCCTTTGCTGTTGACTTTAGAGGCGCTAAAACGGTACATCTGTAGCTTTTGAATACAGCTCGCCCTATCCTACACGGGGGCTATTCACAGTGCCTCCAACCTCACCTTGGTTGTGCCTTCATATTCAGCGATCGGAGCGTTAAGAAACGTGTAATTATCGCTCATGTTATTTACCAAGTTATTTTGCTCCGCCCCGCTATCGAAATGGCGGCGCATCAGCACGTAGGCTTTAAAGTGAAACTGAAAGGACCCATGAAATTCACAATCATGAAGGCCTCCATTAGCCCCTCATCAAACTGAAATTGTGTTAGAACCGTTCCCTCCGAGTTTCGGCGGCAGTCCCATTACGGAGTAGCGCGATCTACGTCTCGAGCTTGAACAAGCTGATGTATTTTCACTACTTGTCAGACCATCCATTGGCATTCCTACTTGGAATCCTTCAGATAATGTTAAGGTTCGTAAGTGAATAGATTGCTGTCAGTCTCAAAATGAAAATGAAATATGCCTATTTACATAAGTGAAGAGCTAAGGCTTATCATTTATTTACATTCACCATTATTTAGAACCCCGAAAGGATTAGCGGTTTAATGAGTTTGGGCTTTCTTGATAGGAAATGAAAGTTATCATTTGCTGAAGACTTGATTGAGTTCATGCAATAGACTGCTATTAAGTAGGCTGGTCATACAATGATACAATGTGCACGTACCACGTACCACTACAAATAGAATTTGTAAGTAGGGACGCGTGATTCTGTAAAAAGACTCAAGAACTAGCTCGCGAGTGCAAAAGGTCGCCAGTTTCTGACCCCGTCCTTATCAGCCTTTATCAGTTGGTATCGTTCAATCATGGTACCTCACATAGTCTCCTGGGACCACTCTCACCACATAATACTGTGCGAGATATGGGTATCCTCTAAAGTGTCAAACTTAAGCCTCCGTAACGAATTGACTACCTAACTGCGGACTATTTGACATGCTGACACGCCTTATCAGCCGCTTAAATCGGTCTGTGAAACTTACTTTCTATCATAACCTGTTTAAACAACAATGTCCCCCGTCCCACCCTTGCCCCATCACATCTTATGTCGCCCGTATGGAACGTCTTGCTATATGCAAACGCCAGCTGGGTCACGGAATCGACGACTTTTTGCCGTTCTGACGGCGCCTTAAATCAGCCTTTATCAGCTTGTGAACATCTTTCGTACATCCATCACACCAATGTCCCCGTTCTCCATCACCCCCATCTCCACACTTCGCGAAAAAATTGGACGACTAAAAAAAGGTGTCAACGTAAAGCTCCGTAACGGATATCAAAACGACTTTTGGTGCGTTCTGACGCGCCTTAAAAACTTATCAGCCCTTATCAGTTGCTATCGCTTCCATTCATGTACCACCATTGTCCCGGGACCACCCCACATAACACTTGTAAGTATAGACGCTCTAGTACCAATATGAACGACAAAACGAAATTGGCGATGCTCGCTTTCTAGCCCCTCTTATCAGCTATTATCAGTCGTTATCAGTTCCTATCACGTACCACTTGTGTCCCCATCCCACCCCCCTATAACATATGTAAGAACCATGGCGCTATCATTGCTGTGACCCGAGCTACGAATTTCGTGGTCAAACACACACACACAATCTCTTGACACCACCACATTTCACCCTGCACACACACTCACTAGACCACATCACCACAGCACACACCACACACAGCACCACACCACACGACACACCAACAGACACAAGGCGAACGCTAGCCGCTGTAGTATATAGATGGGATTTTGTTTACTTCGAGCGTTCATACACTTGGCTTAATACATTCCATTACAGCCCCACACGTATTGGGGGCTGGCACTTGTTATTGTGCCGGGTGGTCCCTAACTTAAAGACAAGAGTCAGGAAAAAATATGTGGGCAGATGCGTTTGAATACGACGTTTGAGGTAGACAGTGATCTGAAAACAAAAAAGAAACTAGACGAAACGCTCGGCAACATCCCGACCTCCGTTTAAGCCCTATTTCAACTTGAAATGTAGAGGGATTGGGTTTGGACGAGTTCTTACGGACGGATGGCCAAACTTGCTCCAGTGCAAATTGTTGGCTCTAAGCCAGAATCGATAGATGTGGAAATCGGCGCAATCGAGTAGTTTCTGCGGGATCCCTCCTCTTTCTCGCGATTTTTTCAAAATTTTTTCATTGTATTATGTTTCTTGTTTATACATATGTTTGACAATGTTGTTATTGTTTATAACTAGTGAAATGTAGGCTTCCGGTGCAGATTGTTCGGCATAAGTCCAACGACGCTTCACACCACAAACGGGCTGCGCGACATTTAGTTGCAATCTAACACTGCCGCTTTGGCGGCCGCACTCTTCTTGCAGCACCAACGTATCTCGGCCGCGCGGGGTGGGGCTTGCGGAATAGGGTGTGGATTGCGAGTAGAAGCGAGCTTCCTGCACGCAAAATTTGTCGGCGCACTTTCCAAGCCAGCCAAGTATACGGTACACCCATTATAACCCCCCTGCCCCTCGCCTGTCTACCGATTCAGGGATTCAACGGTGAGAAACTTGATCTAATCCTGAATCGTGGCCTTTATAAGGAAAGCCTTTCAGGTTGTGCTCCGACTTTTCAAAACGGTTCTCTGCATTATGTAGGGACCTCCGTATGGAACTTTGGACGATCTCTTTTTTCCTGGGCGGCCTTCTGAGCTATTCGGAACCTAATGAGTGAATCTGTGCTCATGTTTCTATTCCCTTGGTGCCAGTTTTGGATTTTCTGAAGCAAAATTATGTTTTCAGAAGGAGCGACATGAATACTTCTTGCTGGTTTATACTGAAATTGAAATGATCCCTTGATAGAAATATATGGGAAAGAATTAATGTGAAGATTTTTTCAAAAAAATTCGGAAGATTTTTTCTGAGCTCCACCCTCCCCTCGCCCTTCGAACTTTTCCCACAAGGACATAATCTCTCTAGCAGGTTGGAGTGTGTTTTGAGTGAAAGGGATCGAGTGGTAATAGAACGAACTGATAAATTGGATTTGACCATCACTTATTCATGTTGGGTGCCGTTCGTTAGCCTCACGCTACAGCGCTATGCGCCGAAAGCAGTGTCACACACCGCACGCGCTACAATTCCTTACGAGCTTGGGAAAAGTGAGCCGTCATGCCGTGAAGGCTCTGATTCAGCATGGCATGGCAATGTTGATATATTCAGCCGCGAAATTAAAGAACAAAATATTAACCTTGCATGGAGTGTCCCACACTTGTAGAATCCACCACAATTGCAACTGCTGAGGGCATGAAGGAGCGAAAACATGATCACTGCTACCCATTTGAACTCCAGTGGTATGAAACTTGAAAAGGAAGATCAGAGATGGACAAGAGCACTGAAAAACGCACAGGAACTTACCCAACAACGCAGAATATCACTCCGACTACACCGACCGCTATGGTATTGAAAATGTTCATTTTCACAGTCTCGGAAAGTAAGCTGAAATACTTATAAATATTTGATGTTGTACCCAAATTATTTTTTATTTCAGTATATGTAGTATAACAATATTTTTTATTCCAATATAATATTCCAATATGAGAACCCATCCCCAAATTCGATGGGTTTGGTGCCACTCCCCCGGAAAGCTCGTGAAATTTTTGAAAATGTACCATTGTAAACTTTAGTACCAAAAACAATAACGATTCTTCACGAGAAAGTCCTAACAAAAAACAGCTCTTCTTCTTCTTCTTCTCCATAGCGTTAGTCCAGCGCAGTCGCAGGGTCCGCTAAACAAAAAACAGCTAGTGATTCTATTTTCTAAGTTATTGAGAAACAAGCCTCCTTTCTAGGGATTGGCTTACGCAGCTGATTTCGCAGCTATTGGACTGATTTGTGTCAGATGGGCACCTCTTACAGAAGTGGCCATGTTTATTCGTATTCTTACAGCTTTTACTCCTACCTCTGCTATTCTAACTAATGTGATTACCGGTTATGTGAGTTATCTTTTGTGTTCCTGTAAAGCCGTTCGCCCCTAAATCAGGAAACAGTGTTTAAAAATTA